ACGTACGAGGGCAAACTGATAAGTGCATTCGCAAAAAATAAAAAAAAAAATATAAAAAAAAATTTCATATTTTATGATAAACTACTAAACAAAAAGTTTTCAGCACTCTCAAAATTTAAATTTACTTGGCTATAAAATCGTATATATCTATAAAATTTTCGCGCCTTATACGTACGAGGGCAAACTGATAAGTACATTCGCTAAAAATTAAAAAAAAATAAAATAAATTTCATATTTTATGATAAACTACTAAACGAAAAGTTTTCAGCACTCTCAAAATTTAAATTTACTTGGCTATAAAATCGTATATATCTATAAAATCTTTCCATCTCTGTTTGTTTAGATAAACAAAATTTTTTATAAATGCTAGTTAATCAAAATAAGGAATAAATTTGGCAACTTAATCAGTTTGTCTATTAATGAGGGCATTTATACACTTCAACTAATCACCCTAATAAATTTTCTTATCGAAGTAAGATAAGCAACTGACAGATGACCTGAAAAATTTTATTTTTCCCAATTTAAAGTCCGAGTTTATCAAGGATTTTCTGGAATGCTAATTTTCTTGGTCAAATCGGTCAAAAATTTTAATTTCATTGAACTACTTAAAGGTATGTATGTAATTATTCAAAGGGTAGAACTCTCAAATATCTAATTATTTTATATATACATATAGATTCTTTCATGGAGAATATACCACAAACGCACTATTCCAAAATTAATGAAACAATAAAAAAAATTGTTTACTAACGCCAAGGACACTCGACACTCGATATCGAACGTAACTCGAATCGAAATTTTATTTTGAGATCACAGCATTCGATAGCGAGTGTGCTTCGCTCATTTAAATTGTATTGTGGAGAAAACAGCTGCCATTTTGTTTCATTCGATTCGAATCGAGGGATGAGGCGATCACGAATGCCGCGATTCGGGCCCAGATCTTGCTTAACTTAAAATATTTCTTAACGTCGTTTATATCTGGGGCAATTCTCAGGAATTTCGAAATTTTTTGTGAATTTTTTTTTTTTTTGAAATCGCGAGCACATGTCTGAAATTTTTGGTATATGTTCCTTCAGCTGCTAGAATAAAAAATCCAACGTGGTGCAACGTTTTAAAGCAAACGCTGCATCGAAGAAGTTTCAACGCCGGAAGAAAGGTGATGTTGCTGCTGGCTTCGCTGATGTCTATTCGACTGATGCCCTCGGACGAATATACACAGTTCATCCACGACAAGACGTATGCTTCTATCTTCGCTTGCTTTTGGTGAACATTGGAGGCCCTATATCGTTCGATTCCTTGCGTACTGTGGATGGTGGGCGGTGCGTCACTTTTCGGCTACATGTCATCCCTCGAACCCGACCGCATTTTGGGACAAATAGAAGGACGAAATGGCTGACGACATTTTGCACAGAGTTCGCTCGACAACTACGAATTTCGACCTCGAAAGGAATGACGAGATGCGCAACGAAGCGTTAGTTCTGTTCGAAGACATGTGCGGCAGTCTGCTGTCGACATTGGGAATTCCAGCGCCAAATCGTTCGCTGCACAATGCATTCAATCGCGAATTGCAACGAGAGCAAGATTATGATCAAGATGAGCTGGCCGAAAGGGTGCGAAGAAATGTGACGCTGTTGAATGCCGAGCAGAAGAACGTGTACGATTCGCTGATGAAAATTGTTGACGATGGAACGGGAGACATTTACTTTCTCGATGCTCCCGGTGGAACAGGCAACAATTTGGTCAAGATCTCAAATTGCGTTGGCTGTTGCACCCTCTGGCATTGCTGCCTCATTGTTGGAATTCGGTCGTACTGCACATTCTGCTTTTAAGCTGCCGATGAATCTTCTCACGGTTGACCAGCCGACGTGAACAACGACCAAGAATTCGGCGACAGCGAAATTGATGCGAGAATGCAAAATCATCATTTGGGATGAATGCACTATGGCGCATAAACGAGCTTTGGAGGCAGTTGACCATTGGTGAATGGGCAATACTAGCAGCGAAGAATAAGGATGTCGATAGCTTGAATTATTCAAAGTCAAATCGCTGGAGAACTGCATTCGTACAAATCCGTTGACAGCGTGGCCGACGAGGATGAAGCGACCAACTATCCGACGGAATTTTCAAACTCGCTTGATGTGCCAGGAACTCCGCCGCATAATTTACAGCTGAAGGTGGGATCGATCATAATCATGTCGCGGAATCTGAATCACCCGAAATTGAGCAACGGTATGCGATTGTCCGTCAAGAAAGTGATGAGCAATGTGAATTAAGCGACGATCATCAAAGGAAAACTTAAAGAAGAGGAAGTTTTTATCCCACGAATTCCGATTACTCCAACTGATCTTCCATTCCAATTCAAGCGGGTTCAGTTCAATAAATCGCAAGGCCAATCGTTGGAAGTCTGTGGGATTAATCTCGAATTTCCCTGTTTTTCGCACGGTCAGCTGTACGTTGCCTGTCCGCGTGTTGGCAAACCGTCTTCGTTGTTTGTTTTTGCGCCGGAGAACAAATCGAAAAACATTGTTTACCAAATCGCTCTCTACTGATTTCGATTGCATTCAAATAAATCACATTAAAATTTTAAATATCTGTGCTTCATTATCACTCTGGAGTTTATCTGAACAGGGGAATTGAAAATCATGGAATCTTGTCTTGAGCTATTAAAATCTTTTAAAGAAGCCGGACAGGAACTAAGCCGCTCTGAAACCCTCATATCATGCGCGATTAAGCGATATGTATAAAAAATTACACACAGCTCATCCTAGACCTAGAGTAAGAATAACGATAAAAAATCAAAATAATAATGTTTGTTTTTTCATACACTATCGTGCGCAATTTTATTGTTTCATTGATTTTTATGTAAATTACTATTTGCTTTATGCATCTCTGTATCGTACTAATTATAATGATTGAGCGTTTATAACTCTTTGGGGGTTACTTGTCATAATGTTATCTTATTTTATACTATTCTTTTAGGTTCTTGCTTTAATGTTTGAATTTTGGGAAGTTACACTTAGTATACAAAGACAATGGCAAAAGCTTTTTCTTAAAATTTCAGACCTTTTACTCAATTTGTTCAAATAAATTTAAGTGAGGGGTATGAAATTTTAAGTAAAAGCAATTGCTTTGTTTTTATGTATACGGCCCAATATAATTTTGTTGATAATTAATACGTTGAAGCTTTATTAAGACTATTAAATTTGAATAAATAAAGATATATTTGATAGATCCTTTGATTCCGTTTAAAAATAACTAGCGTTATATTATTGCATTTGAATATTTATAATTTTGCATATTTTTCATTTCTTAATTTTTTCAAAGATTTTGAACAATTATTTTGTGGGTACGAGTACAAATTACAAAGGGGCATGACATATACTACATATTTTTATGTTATTGAATACTTCTCACAGACGCGCCACGTATTGTATCACACAAATTCAAATGAACAATTTTCTAACATCAATCAAGTACCAATTTTGATGGACAAATTACAATAAAACAGTTGACACGTTTGAAGAGAACATAATAATGGGAGCATGGGAATATTTTGTTTCATATTTTTTGTTACTTTTAAACAACTAAAACTAAATTATAACTATTGGTAATGAGAGGAACGAAAACTGTACCAAAATCACTTTGCTTGCGTGATTTTCATTCTCCTTTTTTCTAGGTTGCTTTTTCGTTATCCTCTTATTGTAATTACTTTGCAATCATTCCCTTTTGCGTTTGCACATCAGAAAATAATTAAATTAACAACTAAGAATTACGCAACTTTACACTTTACACAGCAAACGGTGGCTGTGTTAGCTGATCTGCACCCGGTTCTAGTCAATTGATCTGCAGCGGCTTCGCTTGTTCCCACGTGAAACCGTCACGTCCAAAGTGTCCATAAGTACTTGTGCGCTGGTAGATTGGCTGTCTCAGTTTCAAGTCTCTGTTGGGAGAAAAAGCGAAAATATTAATTCAAAAATATATTATTATGCTTATGCGTATGTACACATTTCACTACAATCTAAACTCACTTGACAATCATGCCCGGCCGCAAATCGAAATTACGCTTAACAATGTCAAGCAATTCTTTTTGTGTCTTATGTGAGGTGCCATAATCGAAGACTGTAATGGAAAGTGGTTCGGCCAGGCCGATGGCATATGAGACCTGCACCAAGCAACGCCTACAAAGTCCCGCCTTCACCAGCGATTTGGCAACCCAGCGCGCAGCATATGCGGCCGATCTGTCTACTTTAGTAAAGTCTTTGCCCGAAAATGCGCCACCCCCATGGGCGCCCCAACCGCCATAAGTATCGACGATAATTTTACGCCCGGTCAAACCTGCATCACCCATTGGACCGCCAATGACGAACAATCCACATGGATTTATATGCACAATTGTGTTGGCATCGAAATATTTGGCTGGAATGACTTCTTTGATGACCTTATTCATGACCTCCTTGCGCAAGTCCTCCAAGCTAATCTTTTCCGAATGCTGCATGGAAACGACAATGGTGTGTACGCGCTTTGGCACAGCAGCGCCCTGATTGAAAAGGTACTCGCAAGTGACCTGCCGAACAAATAGGTAAAAATTAGATTAAAATTACAATGTGATACCAATTTTTAAATGCAGGCATGTACATTTGTAGAGTCTAGAGAATATACGCACCTGTGTCTTTGAATCGGGACGCGCCCAACTGAATTCGCCTGAGCGTCGAAGTTCTGCCAATTTCTGATTTAATTTGTGTGCCAAAACAACAGTCAATGGCATGCATTCTTCGGTCTCATCGGTGGCGTAACCAAACATGATGCCCTGCAAACATTAAACATTAGTAAAATTTTACATACATATGTACATACTTATGTATAAACATGCAAAAGAAGCGCAAAGAGCGTGAAAAACAATTAAAAAGCGAAGCATTCAATAAATAAACTCATTTGTTAGTAAGCAAGCAACAACAACAAAGCATANCTGGTAGATTGGCTGTCTCAGTTTCAAGTCTCTGTTGGGAGAAAAAGCGAAAATATTAATTCAAAAATATATTATTATGCTTATGCGTATGTACACATTTCACTACAATCTAAACTCACTTGACAATCATGCCCGGCCGCAAATCGAAATTACGCTTAACAATGTCAAGCAATTCTTTTTGTGTCTTATGTGAGGTGCCATAATCGAAGACTGTAATGGAAAGTGGTTCGGCCAGGCCGATGGCATATGAGACCTGCACCAAGCAACGCCTACAAAGTCCCGCCTTCACCAGCGATTTGGCAACCCAGCGCGCAGCATATGCGGCCGATCTGTCTACTTTAGTAAAGTCTTTGCCCGAAAATGCGCCACCCCCATGGGCGCCCCAACCGCCATAAGTATCGACGATAATTTTACGCCCGGTCAAACCTGCATCACCCATTGGACCGCCAATGACGAACAATCCACATGGATTTATATGCACAATTGTGTTGGCATCGAAATATTTGGCTGGAATGACTTCTTTGATGACCTTATTCATGACCTCCTTGCGCAAGTCCTCCAAGCTAATCTTTTCCGAATGCTGCATGGAAACGACAATGGTGTGTACGCGTTTTGGCACAGCTGCGCCCTGATTGAAAAGGTACTCGCAAGTGACCTGCCGAACAAATAGGTAAAAATTAGATTAAAATTACAATGTGATACCAATTTTTAAATACAGGCATGCACATTTGTAGAGTCTAGAGAATATACGCACCTGTGTCTTTGAATCGGGACGCGCCCAACTGAATTCGCCTGAGCGACGAAGTTCTGCCAATTTCTGATTTAATTTGTGTGCCAAAACAACAGTCAATGGCATGCATTCTTCGGTCTCATCGGTGGCGTAACCAAACATGATGCCCTGCAAACATTAAACATTAGTAAAATTTTACATACATATGTACATACTTATGTATAAACATGCAAAAGAAGCGCAAAGAGCGTGAAAAACAATTAAAAAGCGAAGCATTCAANTGTACAATGTACTTATGTATAAACATGCAAAAGAAGCGCAAAGAGCGTGAAAAACAATTAAAAAGCGAAGCATTCAATAAATAAACTCATTTGTTAGTAAGCAAGCAACAACAACAAAGCATATAATGGTTTTAGTCACATAATGAGCTATATGAGGCTTTACAAGAAGTCAGAGATTCGAAAATGTTCGCTAAATTTTGGCCAAATACGTAGAAAATCTAATATCAAATCAAAAATGTTCAACAAAATGCNCAATGGTTTTAGTGACATAATGAGCTATATGAGGCTTTACAAGAAGTCAGAGATTCGAAAATGTTCGCTAAATTTTGACCAAATACGTAGAAAATCTAATATCAAATCAAAAATGTTCAACAAAATGCTAAATGGTTTGCGAAATTTACGACTTTACAAAATTAAATGCAATCACCGTGTCCGTGCACCAATGCTAAACTATGTAAATATTCCCGAAGCGTGTACATGTAAGTGTATAAAAATAGTAAAGGAGGCCAGTTGTTCGCTGTAAGATTCTAAGAACAGCTTAAAAATTTGTTTAAAGTTATTTTCATTTGAAAAAAAAAAGTTTTTACAGCCAAACAACCAACCCCGCTATGAACAAAAAAGCATATTTCATTCATACAAAATTACGTACTATTTGTACATATGTATGAATTTGTGTGTGTGTGTGTGTGTGTATGGTTGTGCATCTGCTGCATAAAATGACTATGCACTACAATTTTGTTGCATTTTTTAGCAAAAAATACGTATGCAAATTTACATGTAGAAAAATCAAGTTCGATTGCTACTTTTTTGTTAAAATACAATAGAAAAAAAACGTAAAAAAAAATTTAAGCAACAGCATTGAAAAATTATTCGTTAACACGTTCACACCTGATCTCCGGCACCGATTTCTTCATCGGCACGATTTATATGCACTCCAGCAGCGATTTCCGGCGATTGTTGGTCCAATGCTAACAAAACGTTGCACGTTTTATAGTCAAAGCCTGGGATTTTTATTTNAAAATTTACATGTAGAAAAATCAAGTTCAATTGCTACTTTTTTGTTAAAATACAATAGAAAAAAAAACGTAAAAAAAAATTTAAGCAACAGCATTGAAAAATTATTCGTTAACACGTTCACACCTGATCTCCGGCACCGATTTCTTCATCGGCACGATTTATATGCACTCCAGCAGCGATTTCCGGCGATTGTTGGTCCAATGCTAACAAAACGTTGCACGTTTTATAGTCAAAGCCTGGGATTTTTATTTCGTATAAAATTTAGGGTTTTTTTTTTGGTTTTGAAAAGAAAAGAGAGAAATGCATACAAAATAGAAATAATTGTAAGTATGATTGATGATTTTTTTTCTTTCATTGAGTATGCTATAAATTAGACGAAGATTTCAGAACATAAGCACGATCGTTGGAGGCAACTTTATAACAATTTCCATTAATTTAATAGCACAAGAATTTTTTTTAAATAAAATTAATTACATACATATACATATGTATATACATATGTATTACAAAATTTTTTCTTTAATGTGTATTGCCAACGTAGCATTCTTTATCTGCCACTCCCACGCCAGCAGATAATCGCTATGCTTTATATAAATGAATGCAAATGTGGATTTTAAGCAAAAAAAATACATAGCATTCGATGGCAATTTCTTAAACGAAACATTCGTTTGTCGAGCCTTTTGTGTGAAAATATTGTTGAATTTCAACATTAAATAAATTTTTTTACTAAACTTTTGTTACAATCGCAGCTCAAGTCACAATTATGATTAGTTAATATGTAGTTAAATAGTAAATGGGAATTCAACAAAGTAGGGACTATAGAAAAAAATTGCAAAGTCAAGGCTAGACGTTTTATTAAAAAAGTCTCCAGAATCTCAAAGAAAATTAATTTTTGTTTTGGAATTGCACTATCATTGATTTCATTGCTCTAAAAAGGAACAATTTACAAATCAAAAGTGCAAGAATCTTTTTTTATTCTTTCAGAACCGGTTTTAATCGAAGGTTTCTCCAAATTAACCTCTAAATAAAAATCAACTTTTGCCATTTTGTTTTTATTTTTGGTATTTTTTTTTTTAGTTAATAGTGGAGTTAATAAAAGCTTAATGAATAGTTTAGAAATACTAAACAAAATTCCTAAAACTACACAGAAATTCCTTAGCAATAGATCTTTGGAAAAATGTTTCCCTTTGGCTCATATTCATATTATAGTAGCCACAATCGAGGAAAGCGGCCAACTTGTTGAACTTAATGGTTACAAATCGGCTGATCATTCCCACTACAGTTGGGTCTACGCCCAGGGACTGTCACTTTTTGAGATTATTTTATGCTGTTATAACAGCAAAAAACATTGATCAAGTCAAACCCGCGGTAGACGAGTATTTGATGACGCGTACAGACATCTGCGACTGACAACTAGACCTGAGTTGATTCCGGACGTGTATTGTGGTTGGATTGGAAGCGTGTGGTATTTAATTAATTACCACCTTTTTCAGTTTTTCGTCAATAAAGACATGTTATATAATGGATTAAGTACTATTAAAAGACCTACATAAGTCTTAGTCTGTACTACTAGAAAAATAGTAATAATAAATAATTGTAATATGTTGAACTGTTATTTGGTAAATTTAGATTATTTTCGTTATATTACACCAAAATTGCTAAAAGAAGAAAAGTAAATTTTCAAAAGATCTCAGTTATTGCTATTAGGAGAGTCTGTTGTTGTTGTTGTAGCGGTTACAGCAACCCCGCCTAGATCGGCTAGTCTCTCAGTCGTTGTCGTCAAGCTCAACTAACGGGAGATCCAAGAAGCGTGCAGCCTCTATAGGGTCTGTCCACAGAGACAGAGGCGTCAGTTGAGTGCGGGTTTGTGGGTAGAGTCTGGTAATATATGGTGGCCTATAATTACATTTGCGTTGTTATTAAAAGTAAAAAATATATATATATTGATATTTATTTTATTGTTACTGAAATCAACGCCTAATAGCTCAATTTGCCTATATGTTCATCATTAATATCAATGCAATCGGCACTAATTGGCATTTTTTTAGAAAATATTATAAAAAACATAGATAATCAGCAAGAGCCTCAATACAGGTCACAGAGTATTTTGCTTTTCTTATAAAGTTTTAAATTTATCATTTAGTACCTCTTGCATTGATGACTGTGATATTTTACAAAGATATATGTATGGAAATAAAATTAATATGGGTATTCATGGAAAAGCGTAAATGCCTCGTAGCCGCGTAAACCTCGTAAATAAGCAGATTTTCGATACAAAATAAAATTTACTAGGTTTACATGGTTAAGAGGCATTTACGCGTTTAGATGAATAACCCTAATAATAATGTGGTATGTATGTAAGGAATTTCCCCAGCGAATTGGACAACACAACATTAACCCAGATGAAAGCAAGGCGCTTCCATGCAATTTTCGGTGTTAAACCCCCGAGTTGGAAACGTGCTCTTATATTTAGATTTTTGTTTTTTAATATATAGGCCCATAAAATAAGATGAACGGACTTGGTGTACTTGATGGACACTTTGCGCAGCTAGATCCGCGCTGCCAGCAATATATATGTATATATATATTTTTTTTTGTATATTATGCTCTTAACTTTTGTAATAAAAATTTTCGATATAGACATGCATTATTTTTTGCCCTTCATGAAATTATTTTCTACGCAATATCTTTCTCTCTTTCTTCTTATTGTCATTTCTTGTAATGAACAGTATGTATGATAGGCCAGCCAGTTAAACAACAACAAAACAAATTCCGTTTTTAGGATTATTTATTGGTTAATTTCCAATACCTGATCACCAGCGCCTAAATCTTCTTCTTCACGATCGACGTGAACACCATTGGCAATATCGGGCGACTGTTGCTCGAGCGCAACAAGTAAATTACATGTTTTCCAATCGAAACCTTGAGAAGTTGTGGAATTAATAGAATTTTTTTTTCAATATTTATTTACTGTTTTTGGTCTAAGAGTCTTAACCATTTTTTTTTTGGCGTGGGAATTAAATTTTTTTTTTTTTACTATGGCAAGAAAATTTCGTTCAACCCTTCCAAAATTTAGAAACTATTAACTCACCTTTCGATGAGTCGTCGTAGCCAATGTGTTTGATTGTGTCGCGCACAACCTTTTGATAATCAATCACAGCTTGCGATGTAATTTCGCCGCATAGTAAGATCATGCCTGTCTTGGCAACGGTTTCTGCAAAAAATTAAATGGAAATACATTAAACTCATAAAATCAGTAAGCTGGGAAGCAAGTGTATTTGTTGCTATACTGGTGTAAATACATACATATGTATGTACATACATATGTAGTAATAAATAAAGTCAGTACATTTATAGATACGCAAGTAGTTTTAAAAATGGTTTCACATTCACATTTGTAAATATTTACAAGATATGTTGGCGTCGCGTAGTGGAATTACAAACGCTGCCGTAAAAAAGTACCACGTTTATGCTCTTTCTGCTCCGCTCTAAACTTTTAAGCTATGTTTGATTTCGAGAAGATCATTTTACACATATACATACATACATACAAACAAGTCACAGCGAACAAAAATTAATTTTAGCGTCACCTAAGTTTAAACAATGCGTAAAAAGCAAATGATAAAGATTTAACTTGTACTTGTTTATTTTCGCTTTGCCGCCAGAAAACTTTGCGCACGCGTGAATGTTCGCGACACCATATAAACACTCTTAGGGCCGTTTTCTCAAGTAGCCTGTAACTTTAAAGTTCACTTTATATTTAAAGGTTGCATTAAAATTTGTGATTGTGCCTAAAGTAGAGCATTTTGTTATCAGTTTGAAATTGGTTTACAACCAAGAAAGATACATACGTCATAAACCGATAATAGAAATGCTTAACTTTAGACATAGCTTTACTTTTAATCCAACCTTTAAATATAAAGTGAGCTTTAAAGTNGTGGAAATGATTCTAATGATGGCGTTGCAGCAATAACCAACCCCCAATGCCTAATCTCTTGAGGCCTCACACGAGTCTGTCATTCATTTTAATGTTCGAATGTGGATAGCAGCTGTTACTCGACCACCACACAGTTGGATTTTGTGACTAGTTTATTTGTTTACTATATATAGCAATATCAGATATCTTGGAAAGTAAACATAGTGTAAATACTCGAATGCGTAAAATAAAATATTCTGATTTTAGGCGGGCTAAAGGGATTGATTTGAAAGTATAAACTTAGAGGACTTATCTAGAGCGGTGTGGCTTACAAAAGCTTAAGCTGTACATTTTAAACGTTTTGCTCAATATGGAACTCTGTATGACAGGTAGTTTGTGCACACTTACTTACACTCGACGGGCTCAATTTTCTGTATTGCACACTTGGTATTTCCTTACACCCTAAGCAAGTTCTAATATCTCTGGAATAAATAAATTAACAATTGAATAAACAATTTAGCGGCGCGCACTGGAAGGCAATTCTCAAAACTTTTTTTTTTTCAAATTTTTGTGTGCAGGAAAAATAATTACACCAGCAGATTTATAACAAAGTACTACATCTCGTGTATATATATTGGGCTTCTAACCAAGTTTATGTGTATTATTGAACTATATTTTTTTAATATTTTAGGATAATCTTGGTATAGAAAACATTAATCTAGCGAAAGGTAATGTGTTTGTGATTGTTTTATAACCTTTTATCAATATTTAATTTCATCGGTTTACTGAGAAACCAAGTTTAGACAGTGTTGCAAAAGCTTTGATTTTTTTCTCCCTTCCTGATTTCTTCTCTGACTGTGTTTGCGCGTATCGCGAGGAAGACCTCAGTCTCTGTAAGAGTTGAGGATGCTGCCTTTCTGGTTTAGCTGCATACATACACGAATATATTTCAATTCGTTTGAAAAAACAACGAAAGATTAGAAATTGGAAATAAAAGCCTTACATCTTTCTTAATGGTGCGCTTAGACAAAATATTTGAGACTAACCTTCATTTTAATAACGAAAATTTAAAGAAACTTTTGTTTACATATTTAACCGACTGCAAAAAAAAGGAGAAGGTTATTAATTCATCGAAATATTTGTTTGTTTCTTACGTATGTATGTAACCGGATAATTTTGAATCAGGTATGTCATTTTCCATTATTCTTTTTTTATCGGAAAGGTGGTACCTCAAGGGAGGCCCCATACTAATTTGATTTATTTAGTTCAGTTCATTGTGTATTGCAAATAATTAATTTCAATTCACTAATAGTTCAAACAACAGCATCAAAAAAAGAGACTTGAATGTGCTCACCAGTAGCAGCTAAACTATTTGTGTTCGTCTACTAGAAAAAAAAAATATTGCGCTATTTCGCTTCAACCAATTAAAATACAATAATAACTTATACAAATTTTTAAAAATATTTCAAATCATTACCGCATGCTACTTTGGCGTTGGGATCCTGCTTCAAGTGTGCATCCAAAATAGCGTCACTGATTTGATCACACATTTTATCTAAAAATAGAAAATAAGAGCAATGAAAATAGTGAAATTATAGGTACATATACTGTGTAGGTATTCTGTAGGTGATTTTTAAATTTACATACTACATACATATGTATGTATGTATGTATTTATGTGTGCAAATGCATATACATATATACTTAAAATACATATATGTATAGTGTGTTTATAGACACTAACAAAAACTAATAAACTAGCTTAAGGAAAGATAGATTGACCTAGAGATACTCATCAGCTGCTTAATGTAGACAATATATACATAAAATAATTTCAAAGTATCTACCTAAAAACAAGCCCACCCCAATAGCAAATGAAATGAGAAAGTTTGTTTTGTTGACAATCGTCTAGCTGTGGGATAAAACATTTTAAGAATTTCGGCGTTTTCACAATTTCCGGTAACACATTTTTCTATGCCCTATATGTGCAGTTGTCCACAAAATAATAGGAGTGCGATATTTTGACCAGTTTTGG